ATGACTGTTTTTCTAAATGCAGATGCATACTGTAAATGCACTTTACAAACAGAAAGACAAATTATAAAAAGATGCTCCTTAACACTTTGATACTTGGCGATGACCCTTTTTTATGTACTGAGAAAAAGAAGGCACATGTATAAGAAGGCCAGTCATGTTTCTTCTCACAAGAGACAAATCTAGACACATAACAGAATGAAGGAGGAATTAGGGAGGTTACTTGAATGAAATGCTGAGAGATTTAAGGATAACAAGAAGGTGAGGTTGATGGGGGAGTGGTAGCCCGAGGATGAAAGGGTGTGGTGACTTGCGGAGGCTGGAGCAGGTATTTCTAGGGTACTGAGAAGAGGCATAAAGACTAGTGATACATAACTAGACAAACAGATATTTTTCTTATTTGGGGCTGGCATTTATTAACAGCTGTCTGAGGATTAGAAATATTGCCAAATTATTGCTCAACTAACTGCAATATACAATTTATAACACCAACACAAAGTTCTCACAAACAAAGGCACGCACAATTCAACTCTTCTCAGGTAAAATGACAGCAGGTAGTGGCACAAAACTGCAAGCTTGGATTGTCTGAGCATTAAATTAAAGATCTCCAGGGAATGTAAACAACCACCCCTTGCTGTGGAGCTTTTCCCACACTGCAAGGGTTAAGTGCTTGTTTTGGGCTCCCGCAGCCATCACAGTGGAGGGGGAAGAGGTGAGCGGTCCCTGCCATTGGACCGCGGATCGGGTTATTATATATATTTGTTATTTTAGAACCAAAATGAGCACTAAACCCTAAACTAAGCTCCACAGCAAGGGGTGATGTGGTAGTTCTGCCACTGACTCCAAGCTGTAGAGGGACTATAAATCTGTAGTGCATGCACTACAGATTTGTAGTCCTACTGCATGCACAATTATTTCTGGTCTGGAATGTAAACACATGAGAATGCATGCTTACGCACCAGAACACACTGGAATGCACTTGAAATTCAATTGAGATTAACAAAAGCAGAGGAACGCATAAAAAATGCATCAAAAACACACATTCCTGCATTTCCACAAACACATCCAGATCTGGTCTGGAGATGGTGTCAACAAACATTAAAAGGTAGCAGGCTGATCATATTTTTTAATGAACAAAATAATAAAGTGAATGTGTGTACAGTCTCCATTCTTTGGAAAGCCGCGCTCCTTTCTCCTCCACTCTTAATCCTCCATTGAGTCTGCCATGTGTGGAATCACATACTGGTAAAGATGTGACCGCATCCACATGCAAGCAGGTCAGACAGCGCTGCTTGAGACCTTTGTGGTTTTGGTCTACCGACGTCAGTAATCCACTGGAACCTAGAACAGGAAGACCATAGATGTCCCAAAGAGCACTGTCTGACTTAATTCTATGTGGTCACAACATGGGATATCATATATGGAGGGTTTGGTCTAGGATTAGGTGTGGAGCAGAAATTAGTGTGACTTCCTATAGGAAGAGAATGTAAGGCTGGCAATACACCTATCAATTTTATTTCGTTCAACCCATGGGCATGGGCTGAATGAAAACAATTGACCCGATTCCTCCATCAACACAAACAACGTGTCGATCTCAGGGATCTCAAGTCTCCCTGATGTTCAGGGAGTCTCCCTCTATTAGATAACAGCTCCCTGACGTCCGCGAGAGAGGCATTTTCTCCCTGTAAGGTTTACTCTGAGTAAACCTTTTCGATAAGATATCAGTGGGTACGGCCGCACCTCCCTGAAATAAGGTTTTGCAGGTTGGGATGTCTGCGATCTAGGAATCCCGCTGTTTAGATTGTATTCTGACAGATGCCGTCGGCACATGTCAGAATACCCGATCAGAGCGGGCAGCTCATAGGCTGCCTGCTATAATCACTCGAAAATTTTCCAGCAGGGTCCTTCGATTAGCTGATCGAGGAATGCCAGCTGAAAGGGAGCCGACAGCCCCACACACTGTGCGAATTTTGGCCAGTACAGTAAAAACCGGCCTAAATTCGATCAGTGCATGGGCACCTTAAGTATTACAAGCTGTTAGGAGATACACATGACCTAATTGATTGTGGCGAATAGTGAGACTGGCTCTAATTGAATCCAATTTTCCAAAATTTCCTGTAGTAGGCTGGTAAGCTGCTACCACACAGAACTAGCAGGAGAGGGGGAGCAACAATCAGCTGAGAGAGTACGTGAGAGAACTAAGAATGTAAACAAAGAGTTTTGGAGATGAGCAGCAAAGGAGAACTCAGACGCAGACATCTCAACTCTCCCGGAAGCTCCGGGAGTCTCCCGCTATCCGGGACTGACAACGTTTCTTGGTTTTCTTTTTGCAGCAGAGGCAGCGGTCAGATCATTGCAGGGAGTCAGGAGCTCACTGAATATCTGGCAGTAGCATCAGGTATTTTTAAGTACCTGCAGTGTTTTTAACCACTTGAGTACCTGAGCCTTTTTCTGTCTATAGCCCTCAAGTCTCAGACCTTTTTTTTTCCTTTCAGAAATATCTCGATTGTGCAGCTTTACTTTTTATAGTATACCTTAAAAAATGATGCATAATTTTCTTGGTACAAATATGGCTTTAATTTGATAGCAGATTTGGAGACATAAGTTTATGTTTTAGGTTTTAATTCATAAAAAAGAGAAAAAATGAATTTTTGCAAACTGTACGTAACACTGTGGGAACTACCAGGGTCGCAGAGGTTGCAATTGCGACCGGGCCCTGGCGTTCCGCCTGTTGGGGGGCCCAGAGAGCAAGAAGAGGGCTGCTCCTTTCCCGCCGCACTGCCACCTGCAGCAGTAGAATCGGGACATGTACGGTGCGGCGGGGATGGAGTGGATCTGTCACTGTCATCTGTCCAGCAGAATGTGCTTCAAGCACCGCCAGGCAGCATATTCTGCTGTGTGGGGAGAGGACCCTCTCCACTTAGGCCTTGTTCACACCAAGCGCGGAGCAGGTGCAGAGCAGAGCAGTTGCTGAGCGGATCAAAACTGCGTCCAATGTATTCCAATGGTATTTTTTGCTCCAGTTCACATCGCAGCGTGCAGTTCCAGAGCAGGTCCAGAGCAGGTGAAAAAACTGCAGCAGGCCCTATTTTACCTGCTCTGGATCTGCAAACGCATCAAAAACGCTTGCAAATGCCTGGAACGCACTGAAAGCCCATTTTAAACTTTAAAAAAAAAAAGATTTAAGCCAAAAACGCATCTAAAAGACTAGCATGCGTGTGCAGAAACCTGACCAGATCTGCTCTGCATTTGGTGTGAACAAGGCCTTAGTCCCGATCCCTGGCTGCCAGGACACGGAAGAAAGTGTCTGGTGTGCCAGTGACAGTGTTGATGGTGGTCTGAGAGTCAGGTAAGTCTGGGTGGGTGAAGGCTGGATGGGAAAGGGGGGGGGGATTTGATGAGAGGCTGGTGGTATTTTCATTATCAACTATTGCTGGGACTTGTAGTCCTGCATAGCTGGTGGTATTCTGCTGCATAATGATAATACAACAATGCGGAATAGCATCAACATTTTGCAGCATCCCTCCACACCTAACATACAGCTTTTTAATGATCATTTATTCACCCAGTGCAGTGTGTAAATGATCATTTTTTTCCCCGAGTTTGTCTTGCTCAGGTATTGGAAAGCTGTGCCCAATATTAGTGATGGGCTGAATTTTGATCGGTACGTGACAAGTAGCTCTGCCCGAATGTTTACAGCTCTAACAGGTGAGACATGATTGGGCAGAGTCATCATGACTTTGCCCAATCATGGCTCTCACTGTTCTCTGTGCCCAGATTGGGTAAAGTCTGTGGTCAGGTGCAAGGCTTTAGCCAATCAGGTCTTCAGAAGGTGCATTGCCCAACTCTACTCAATATGTTATTTTCTCTAAACACACATACTAAGGGGCCACATTATCAGATCTCCAAACTTTCTGTGATAAGAAAAGGCATATCTTTTCGCTCTGGCGGGTATAAGCAACAGACATGTGCACAGTTATGGAAACCATGATCATTAAAGTGTGTCTCTAGGCAAAACCTTTTGAATAAAGTTGGGAATGATTAGATTCTCCAGTTTTTATTGCTGTCTCTGTCCCCCAAAATGAGTAACCCAACCTGAGATTGTAGTCCATCACAGGAGGGAGCTTGGAGCGGTGACAACACACAGGGTCCATGGGGAAGAAAAGTAACAACCTCCAGAGGGAAGGACAGTGTCGGCACCAATTCAGAGATGATTTGAGGGTCTACAGCCGAGTGACGCACAAATAAGTTACATTTTTTTTAATAGTTAAGGTACTTGAATTAATTTTTTTAAATTCAACTCCTGAGCTTAGTGTTCATTTAAAACAGTCCCCAGGAAAAAAGGGAAGAGGAAACCTTCTAAAGGGGGAATTCCCCTTAGTTGTAGATTTACTCCAACTTCCTGTTGTGTGTCTGGGACATGAAGTGAAGGCAAATTTCCACAGACAGCAACAAGAAAATAACCTAGCTTTATCCAGAACAAAAAACAAATCATATTTTTCAGGGTAAAGGAGGGACAAATAAGAACGGACAGTTTGGAATGTTATATTGTAGAAAATATTTGTCATCCTGGCATCGTAAGCCAACTACTGACACGAGATGGCACTACAACAAAAATAATACTCCTCTCATTAATATTGCCTTCGCAATTATTTATTTAGGAATAATGTGTACTATGACGTTAAAATTTTTATTATTTGCTGAATGTATGTGATTAATACTTCCACAGTCACACAGCAATCAATACGCACACAGCATTAACTGAATGCTTTGTACGACGAAGCGCACCTTGTGAAAAGGACCTCTATGCCTTCGAAGCTGTCTTATAAAGTGCCTGATTTTTATTCCTCTTTTAATACCCATAATCAATTCACGGGGATTTTAGGTGAAAGGTAGGATTACGGATTATAGATACGGAAAGCCAATGTAAGTAATAAAAAAAATAAAACTCTTGTTGCGGTCAGGCGCGGTGAAGGTAACCTGAGGACCGGAGGTCAGGGGGAAGAGGCGGAGCCATTGGGGAAGGGAGACGGAAGAAGCTGTAGAATCAACATGGCGGAGGTGAGGTTTTGTTATTTGTAGATTTGGTGGTATCTTTTTGTACTGGTTAAATTATCGTTAAAACTGGTCGCTGCGTTGTGATTTATGTATAGTTTAATATAGAGCAGAAGTATAAATAACTCGCATGTCTTTCCACTGGCTGGTTCATGAAAATAATGGATAGTCAAGGCCTGTATATTCATATGAATAATGTCCATTATCAGAGAGCCGGGCTGTTTTCACTGGTGTAATGTTGAAGATAGCAGCCACTGCTTTGTGTAATGCAATGGTGTGTCTCTGCTACAATACGAATCCACTAAATGACATTGTTATTACCTTTTTAAAGTTACACTAAACTCAGAATGTGTGTGTCACTCAGCTGTAGATTCTCAAATCATCTCTGAATTGGTGCTGACTCTGTCCTTCCTCCTGGAGGGTGGCTATTTGTGTTCCCCATGAACAGGATAGATGTACCAAAAACCAAAATAAAAAACGGGTACATATGCAATACCTTTTTGGAGAACTACACAAACAAGTGGACTTTCATCAATAAAATGCACTTCTTGCCGCTGCCCTCTTACACAATTGTAGGTAGTTTATTAAAGGAGAACTATGAGGTGAGTGCTTTTCACCAGGGCCGACGCAAGGATTTTTGCCAACTCAGACGAAAGTGCATTATTTTACAATGCACCGCCGTCCCCTCCCAAAACGCGGGGGGAAGTTTCACAGCGATCGCGGCGAGTTCCAGCAGCTAATACATACATGTACACAGTGACGCATACATGAACACACACACACACACACACGAACACAGTGACGCACGCACGCACACACACACATACATGAACACAGTGACGTATACATGAACACAGTGACATACATACATGCATACACACAAATACATGAACACAGTGATGCATACATGAACACAGTGACACACACTAGTACCTGCAGATCGGGACCAGGAGGCAGTGAAGAGAGAATGGCTCCTCCCACAGTGCAAGGACTCAGAGAGTGGCCCCGAGGAGGTAGTCTGAGGCTCCAGAAAAGGTGGCATGTAACAACAACAGTGCTGGCAGAGCAGCTCCAAAATGAGTACAGGGGGCGGGGCAGGCGAAGCTGAACTGAGATCATTGCAGCAGAAGCCCGGAGACCGACGTCCACACCATCGCTTACATCTATGTTTGCGGCTGTGCTATGATTTTCCCGCCCCCTCCCGCTGGCGGCCACCTGACCTGCCTTACGGTAACGCCGGCCCTGCTTTTCACTCACCTCATAGTTCTAGCCGACCTGTGACAATGAGACTGTCACAGGTCGGCTCAGTAGATCGGGAGGTGAGCGAACACATGCCGGTGTTCGCTCACCTCTCGATCCTGTCACAGCTCTCTGCCCTGACGGGAGTGGCTGGATTCCCCCATCCCCGCTCCGATCCGCCAGCGCTGACTGGCCGAACGGGGGAGGGGGCGGGTACAGCTGGCTCTGCCTCTAGATAGGCAGAGCCAGCTGTCAGTCACGCAGCTGGGTGGATCCTGGCACAATTGTCGGGATCCGCTTCAGCTGCGGCGTCTCAGTATACCGCGAGCAGCAGCTCGTGGTATACTGCTGCGTCTCGGTATACCGCGAGCTACAGCTCGCGGTATACTGAGCCTAGGGTGACGGGAGGACGCTAGTTTGTATCCTCCCGTTGCCCTAAGGAGAACTATTGGTTAAAGTCTTAACCCCATAGTTCTCCTTTAATGTTTGTATAAGTGCATACTTTTTTTTTTAAATAGTGGTGCTGCCTGTCAGTTTTACAAAATACTTTTTTTTTTCACAGTAATGTTAATAGAGTTTTGACTTACGAATTTCCACATTGAAAATGGCTAACACCATGTTATATTTACAGAAAAATCAGACAGCGTAAAAGATCTATTTGCTCATTAATTCCTACTGTTTTCATTCATTTCAGCCAGACCTTGTGGAAGGATGTCGATTACCTGTCCTTCGCAAGAATCAAGACAATGAAGTGGAGTGGCGTATGTGCTTTTGATGTTTTTTTGTTTTATTGTTCATTATTTTATACAACCTGCATCTGAAAAAGTGACATGTAAAAAAATCAAAATCCAGCTGTCAGTTATGAGGGTATTGGAATATCCTACGGTATCTTAGGGCCAAATTTGCAACTCAAACCATTGTTGTTTTTCTTGTTTTTGTTTTGGATAGAGTGAGTTATGTATATTTTGGAACATTTTCACTACTAGGATTCTATAGATGAATGACAATGTATCTAGCTAGCTGTTAATGATGCTATTTCCCAATTTTCCTTTTTAGCACTGGCAGAAATTCTTAGCGTCAAAGACTTGTCAGCAAAGAAACTGTTCTATGTTCACTACATTGACTGTAAGTAAGCTGCCTATTAATAAGACAGTATTTTGGTGTGTTAGAAGAATATTTATGTTTTAAATGCCTTTAAAATCTACTTAATAATCGGCTAACTAATCGATTTTGAAAATAATCGTTAGCTGCAGCTCTAAATTACATGTTTTTATGTTTTACAGTTTTCACGCAGAGCCTATTTCACTATGTAGCAATATTAGATTTGTGGCCTTTGCAGGTTATTAGAAGCTGACTACTTTGTTTTTAAATGCGGTTAAACAGGATGTCGGCTGTATAAAGCACCGTTTCCTCAACATTTTTGTAATTTGTATATTGAACAGATAAATATACTTCATGCAACTTTTTCTTACTAAACATGCTGGGTAGCTGTGCTTTCAGCAGTTTGGAAAAAATGCTGCAGGTTGCATCTGTTTCTCTGCATGGTCTCATCTGTTAACTTGTATGTTTTCAAGTACCTCAACACAAAAGATGCATTGCAGTTTGTGAAAGACAGATTTTTATGAGTGTGCTGTGTTTTAGCTGTACTGCTCTCTCAGAAAATCACTAACAGTATCATATCAAATTGAATCATTCCTTACTACGACAGTGGTTGTAATATTTTATTTGTGCAATGCATAGAACCTAAACACATCAGTAACGCAATTGCAAACACTCTGTATGTGTATATTTGAAATAAATATACTTGGCACAGAGCTACGCTTCTATGGACAAACTCAAAACAGGTTAAGGATTTAGTGAATAAATTGTGTATTACATTACCCAACTAATACAACATATGTTGTAGCATATTGTAGAAGCATTTAGAGCTATGTAAACCAATAATGGTATTTGTTTCTTCTTGCAGTCAATAAGCGGCTAGATGAATGGGTTACTTATGACCGTTTAGACCTGAAAAAAATCCAGTTTCCAAAAAAAGAGGCCAAGACACCAACCAAGAATGGGCTTTCTGGGTCAAGGCCCAGCTCACCAGAGAGGGAAGTGGTGAGTAATTGGACAAGATGATAAAAAGCAATTTGTACCTCTGTGTTTGTGCCAAAAGTGCACTGTAGCTTGCATTGCCAAGGCAGTCCTTAAAAACTGGACACACTTGAAAGAAACATTTAGTTGACTAGATTCGGATCATTATTTGCTTTGCATTAATCGTAGCTATTTGTAATAAAAAAAACAAAACATTATCAGGCTAATATGTTCCACAATTGATATTTGGTTTGTAAGTGGTCACCAGCAGGCTGACTTGTATAAAGCTCTTGATAACTCTGTCAATGGCAAATATGTCACTCGCTTGCATTAGGACTCCCCAGTGGACCCAGTCTAAATTTAAGAGCATTCATGTGGAGGGCAGGATACCAAAATGGTAATTCTTGTAGAGAGATTTGGAGACATGAATGTCTGAGTCACCTGACCGCGCTGACCAATGAGATGGGCTTCTGACCAGTCAATGCATGCTCACCATTTGCAAGCGAAATTCAAAATCCAGAGCGCACAACAGGATATGGATCGTACACCCGCACTGGTAGAGGGGAAGGAGCGTTCCCCAAAAGGTATCTATAGTGGGAGGGAGAGGGGGCCAGATTAAAGGGGGTAATTTTTTTTCTCCAAATTTATTTGGGAAAGTGTAGTTACCCTTTAAACTAGAAGTATCAATTATTTTCTTGATGAGGCCTTATACACCCAAGTGTTAACAATGTTAGTTTATCAAGAAGGAATATCACATTCACAAACATGTATAAAACATTTTAAAAAACATGATGCACCCCGTTCTAGTTTGGGAGTGCTAAATACAGTTCTTATGGCTGTAGATTTAAATAATATTTATGGAAAATTGTTTTGTGTAGATCCACTGATCATTTTGACTTTTATTACCGGTAATCTCTGCTTATGGTGATAGGACAAGAGGGACAGAATGGAAAGTTTCAGGGTGACACGTTTTCCAAAAAAGAAATTGTCCAATTTAATCATTGTCTACTGGAGATTGCTGCTTGTTGAATGGAACTCATCTTTTTGGTTTAGAAAAATGTAACTGCAGTTTGGGAATTTTGCAGGTACCTGACCTGGTGCTGGCTTCTGAACTTATCTTTGTAATTTTATATAATTTATTGGAAAAGACTTAATGTCCATTTCCACCTTTGTAGGTGATTAGCAATTAGTGTAGTGATGTAGAGGTGCAGCGACAATGTACACTCATTGGCCACTTTATTAGGTACACCTTGCTAGTAGTGGTTTGGACCCCTTTTGTCTTCAGAACTGCTTTAATTATTTGTGGCATTCATTCAACAAGGTGATGGAAACATTCCTCAGAGTTTGGTCCATACTGACATGATAGCATCACAGAGTTGCTGCAGATTTGTCGGCTGCCCATCCATGATGCGAATCTCCACCAGCCGGAACCGTTGATGCAGGATGGATCCATGCTTTTATGTTGTTTACATCAAATTCTGACCCTACCATCCGAATGTCACAACAGAAATCGAGACTCATCAGACCGGGCAACATTTTTCCAAATCTTCTATTTTACAATTTTGGTGAACCCTTGCAAACTGTAGCCTTTGTTTCCTGTTCTTAGCTGACAGAAGTGGCACTCGGTGTGGTCTTCTGTAGCTTATCTGCCTCAATGTCTTGTGTGTTCAGAGATGCTCTCCTGCATAGGTCGGATGTAACGAGTGGTTATTTGAGTTACTGTTGCCTTTCTATCAGCTTGAACCAGTCTGGCCATGCTCTTCTAACCTCTGGCATCAACAAGGTATTCTTGCTGCCGCTCACTGGATATTTTCTGTTTTTCATACCATTCTCTGTACACCCGAGAGTTGGTTGTGTATGAAAATCCCAGTAGATCAGCAGTTGCTGAAATACTCAAACCAGTGCGTCTGGCACCAACAACCATGCCATGTTCAAAGTCACTTAAATCACCTTTCTTCCCCATTCTGATGCTCGGTTGGAACTTCAGCAGATCATCTTGACCATGTCTACATGCCTAAATGTACTAAGTTACTACCATGTTATTGGCGGATTAGATATTTGTGTTAACGAGCAGTTGGAGGTGTACCTAATAAAGCAGCCAGTGAGTGTATATGTGTGCACATTTTCATGACTCGCATTGCAGGCTTCCTTCATTTTATTTACAAATGTTTCATTAGCCTGAAGCTCACAGAGAGCTCAGTTGTAATTTACACAGAGCACAGAGGCAGCCATTTCCGTGAGGATATGAAGAGGAAAGCTAACAAAAAATGCAAGTTTCTGTGTTCATATATAGTTATTGTATATGCCTGCTTCATGTAAACTCTGTGTACATTGCTGGCATATGTTTTTTTCAAAATACTTCCGTAGGGGTGGAAATGCACTTTAAATCTGATCTGCTTATGGGGACTTTAGTAGTTTTACCTCCTGTAAAGCACCTAAAGCTTGGCAATCAAGCTTGAGTTTTTCATTTGTGTCTGGTTTTAAATAGCTGCTTTGCCACATGCAAGTAGTGACTGTGTAAGAGTGTAAGTCTTATAATCTCTCTGTGTCATTATGTTTGTATCTGAACCTCTGTCCCAGACACAGTGACATACATTGAGAAGAGCTATTTTTGTCTCTTCGCACAGCAATAATAAATAAAGTAAATCCGTAAGTGTGACCTCCCACTGTATTAGGGAGAGGTGATAAGCCTGTGTCATTCCTTTTCCACAGAGGAAGATTCCTGAACTCATTCTACCTCCAGTTGCAGCCCCTGCGGGAGGAGGAAAATCTCTCCCTGTTCCAGTAAGATTTTGTCTCCCGTACTTCCATTCATGTCTGTTTCTCTGATTTCAGTATTCTTCATAAGATCAACTTTCCTTTTCATGTTTTTATTTGCTTTAATGAATTACTAGTTACTTTGCTCTTCCATCAGAAACGGAAAGTGGAAATAGTATCACCAGCCACTCCAGTTCCACCCGTGGTAGAAAACACTCAGGCCTCAGTCTTTCCACAGGTAAGACAACAAGCTGCTTTAGTTATATTTTTCATTCTCGTCACCATTGCTACTTTTTTTTGCATAATGTCTTGTCTTTTTTATTTTTTTAGTGTAAATCTTAAAAATGCTTTCAAGTACCGTAACTATTAACAAAAATGTAACTTAATTGTACATCACTCGGCTGTAGACAGGGCCGCCATCAAGGGGGGGTACAACCAATACCAATGTAAGGGGCCCAGGCAGCCTGGGGAGCCCATCCGGGACACTTACATGAGTATGGGCCGACGGTGACAGGCGAGGAGGCGGTGCCGGAGGAGAGCTGGCCCTAGCAGCCCTGGGCCCCAGCATTGCTGACCCAGCGGCATCGGAGCAGGCTGGGGCCCCATCGGCGCCGCTGCTCTTCTGATCTCGGGCCGGTCACTCTCAGATATGTGTGAGGTCTCAGGTGGTTCCTGCGTCCAACGGGTCACTCAGCCCTGGGGGGGGAGCTGAGTGACCCAAGGGGGGTGGGACATCTTTTAACCATTTAATCTACATACAAAAGATGCATATAAATAAAATCTTCTAGATCACATTGCAATATGCAAATACAAAAAGAAAAACAATTTTGTAGATATTTAAAGAGACATCAGTTCCAGATATTACATAGTAAATCCACTTATGCAAATTATAAAGCGAATAGGAACTTCCTATATAATGTTCCTGCATCGTTTAGCAATATAACACCACAACATGTGCATAGGATAGAAGAAACAGTCCTAAAAGTACATAGAAAAATATCAATCCCAGGTATAATATCCACCTGACCTTTAATTCTAATCTTGAGAGTGGGGAGACAGTACTATAGCAGCATCAATAAAGACTTGTTTATTGAGGCCCCATTCACACTCATATAGTGTGAATGGGGCCGATATCGCGGGTATTTACTGCGCGATATCGCTCTCCAATGCATGGCAATGGGGCTCTGTCCGTCGCTGTCGCGGGTCGTGCTTCGCTACAGCGGGACCCTTTTTGGAGCGGATTTTGCCGCGATTCTAGTTTGCTCAATGCAACCATTTGCGCAAAATGCAAATCGCGCGATTTGCGAATCGCTCAGTGTGAATGGGGCCTAAAAGGATATAAGCTAGCATTCCAGCATTAGTTTTATCTTCATCTAGTCAGGAGAAATCCTAGTATTCAATATGACTATATATCATGTTCCCAGTTCAAATAGCCTTCAATATGGATCCCCTCCTCTATCCTTCTTAAAGAAGTCCGAGCCCAAATGCCTATAAAAAGCTGACAAACTCAGATATTACCGAGTAAAAGTGCTAGCACAAAATAGGGAACAATTAAAGTTACCCATCACAGCCTATACATAGGATTGGGAGTTAAAAAGAAATATTGTCCTAAAAAACATGTATGAGGAGGGATCGATCCAAGATATTCAACAGTACAAACCACAGTTCCTATGATGTTCCCCTAGTTTGACTTCTAATATAAGCAGTAGGTATGCTACAAAAGGGTAGGTTCATGATCTAGGGTATATCCCAATATTCCAGATCTATTCGCTACATCTGGGCAATAATGTAGACCCCCTCCTCTGTTTTCCTTTCTGAAATTCATCCTCAGGCCTTTGCAGGAATATCAATCCCAGACATTACCCAGAATGAGGACCTGGTAAAGTTCTCCATATATCCCTACCAATGTACAGAAGGTCACCCTACAGAGGTTCTCCTTGACGGGACTTAGCTAATGCATCCTTTTTGCCAAACGCATACATTTTAAAAACCAATTGGGCTGTGTACGGCGTATGTTTTGTTAGGGGTCTGCTATAGGACAGAGCCTTTTTCTAGGCTATACCATGAAAATCACGAGCTTTGTCCTATACCCACCTCAAGCATGGCTTCAGGTGGTCGACTTCATACTGTTACGTTCTGATCAATTCCACACATAAGAGTTGTCCTTATATCAGGGAGGATATGATGGTTGTATTCAGCCTGGGTGTGAATGGCTTAGGAATACTGAATGCTCCCTGCATTCAGAAAGCATTTTGCATACTCGGTCACATGTGAGTGTTATGCGGTGGAAAATAAATGTTGTAGGGTTTTATACCCGATTTATGTTATCTGGACACACACCGGAATGCAGCTGATGTGGACAAGCCCTAATAAACAAGATCACTGCAGAGACAAGCTACATACTTCATGATCCACGCTTAAGCATGGAGCTATGTACTATATACATCGTTTAGCCATAATAGTCTATTGGGTACAACTTCATGGTAAAGTGTTTTTACACCGATAGGTTTAATATGCTATAGTAAACTGTTTTTTTTTTGTTTTTTTTTTACACACATCAGCTTCACTGCTTGTAGTATTGGAGGAGTGTCAGGCCTTAGGATGATAGGCCAGCCATATGATATTTGTTTTATATCATAGTTGCCTCTTAATGCTGAAGGGCGCTTTCTAGTATAGGTCGGGTATCCAGTAATGGCTACAACGCTGCCGCTCAGTTTTCTCTGTTAGGGAAGACAGAATGCTGAGAGTGCATGTAACGAAGGGTTAAAGGCCCCGTTACATTTTATCTGCTTATTTAACAAATTCCTATGCTTAACTCTTCAGATTTGTGAGGGCATACAATGGCTCAAACAAATCACAAATAGGGGAATCATAAAATACATTTTATTAAACTTGTGTCCTATGTAAGGGTATACAGATGGCTGACAGGATAAATATACCTTACACACCCAGGGAGTCCTTGGCTTCTGAAAAGATAAGTCCTGACATTCTTTGAACAAGGGCCTTAGGTACATTCAGCAAGATGTCCAAGCGAGGCTCAAACACACTTTACACATACCTCTTCGTGTATGTGTGTGTGCATATACACTGAGTGGCCAGATTATTATGACCACCCCATCAGTACTTCGTTGGGCCACGAGATGACTTCGTATGGCCACCTCGTGACTCCATGAGATGTTGAAAGGTGATGCGAGGAATCTGACACTGCACTGTTGCCCTTCTGTTGTCTTGTACCAGTCTTGCCACTCTCCGGTCTGCCCTAACATTGACTAGTCGCTGATGGCCACAATTCGCACGTTCAGACCCAGATTTTCATCTAACAGTCCAGTCTTTAAACACTTTAACAATGAGCCCCTCTTGAACATTTAACGAACTCTGCTGTTTTACTGATACTCGCTCCATGGCTCGCGCCAACAATCATCCCACGTTCAAAGGCTGTTAAATCGCGTTGTTTACCCATATCTTCAGAAAAAAAATCACTTCTACTGTAGTGGTAAACAACCTGCTTCCCTATTTATAATGGTCTGGCCCTCTAGCAACTTCAGCGCGAAATTATAGCTAATTATAGCTAATTTACCTACAAATGTCAGGTGGTCATAATAAACTGGCCACTCAGTGTATATGTACCTATGTATACCTTCCTTACTGAGAGGCCATTATCCATGACAACTTAAGTTTATGTTTCACGGGTGACGGTGTATGTACAGATCAATGCTTTTTATATCCATAGTATCTACTACCAAGTTATGTGTGCATGGATACCATTTAAAAAAGGCCACTTATTCTACCTCCAGATAACGTTGGGAGCAGTAGATTTTATATACACTCTAGAGTCTGCTTGCAGGTAGTTCTGGTATGCCGGACCCTGGACAGTTAACAGCTTGAGGACCTAGGAGGACAGAGATAGGATAAAAAGAGGGATGCTAAACCTCCTGGATTCTATCATCTATTGTATAGAAGCTCTCTTCTAAATCTAACTAGGCTTTAGAAGATTCTCTGGTACTACTTGGGAAATCAGTCACTCTTGGAGGAGATCCAAGAATATTTTTGACCTGTTTCAGGCTGCAAAACATCAGGCTGCAAAACATCAGGCTGCAAAACATCAGGCTGCAAAACACCATAACACTAATGCCTGGTGGCTTCAGATATTCATCACCCTGTCGTCCTCTAGAATTTCTTATGAGAAGCTTCAATATGGCCTTAGACTCATCTTGGGCAAAGAAAGCTAGGTTTTCACCAGAGAAAATCTGTAAGGAAGCCACTGAGCTAAGTTCCAATCTCTGGTGTAGCACTGCAGAGTTACCCTTTTCACCTATTGTGATTAGACTCTTGGCAGTAAGGTACTCTCGGCAGTGTGTGTGTGCATCCCCTGAAAAAGTATGCAAATTCCTCGCTTATCCTCTTTGATGCCCTGGAAGATGACTTGGGAAAACATAAGTTAGGTACCTGGTAACTTTTGTTTCCAGGAATCTTCCAGGGCAACAGGGAGGAGTGTGGTTCAAAATAAATGTCATTGTTATTGTCTAGTAGCCCTTTCTGTCCTTTGGTTCTATTGTAATAAATAGGTGGTTAGGAAGGGCCGTCCCTTTTCTAATTGTGGATGATGTGTTTCCTGTTTCAGGTGGGTGGATCCCTTCTCTCAGGAGCTGCCCTGGAAGATTCCTGGAAGCAGAGTTACCAGGTACCTAACTTATGTTTTTTATGCAAGAAATCCTTCGATTTATTTAGCTGAACATAGCATATTTTACTTGGTGCACATTACCGTCACACTTCATGCAAATCGCCTGTTTTCTAGAAGGGCATACAACTGTTAACTAGTCTACAGTCACAACTGGTATCACAGTGATTAGACGGTGTAAAAGGGTTATATACTTTGTCTTAGTGGTTTATATCTCCGAATTCCTTGCACCTTGGAGTGTCAGAACACTCATCCACACAATATTAGTATTGTATGAAAAGAACAGAAAATTCCTGCAATAGTTTTCCCTTCTATGCTTGGAAAATCACGTAAATGAGTAGTCCTTCAGGATTTAACGTACCTTGGTCTTAAAGGGATTAAATACCATGCTTACTATCTTGTCTTGAATTGTATTGTAATTGTAATGTCTTCCTTATATTGTAAAGCACTGCGCAAACTATTGGCGCTATATCAATCCTGTATAATAATAATTCTTAAAGAATAAGTAGGCTCCTTAAATCTCTCCTAAACACCCCATCCTCATGACTAGTAATCCAACTATCACCCCAGCACCACACATGTATTTTGTTTAGGTTTCTTTTATGGAAGTACCATTTAGTTTTTAAATGTTTTTGGGTTTATCTACTAATTTCGGAAGTTAATACACTTCTTAAAAATGGTATCATGTTTTAAAGTTGTTGTTTTTTCTTAGATTTGATGTATATTAGAGCTGAAACCTAACCCCCTAGTTAAGGAAACAACTGTATTTAAGTTCCCAGGACATAGTATTTAAAGGAGAATTATGGGGTGAGTGGAAAACACTCATCCCCATAATTGAAGCCGACCTGTGATGCTAAAGCTGTCACAGGTCGGCTCTATTAATTGGGAAGTCAGCGAACACATACCACTGATCGCTAACTTCCCAATCCTCTCCCTGTACAGAGCGGTGACTGTTAGTCACTGCTCCCAGCATGTATTCTAGAGAGACAGGGGTAGCTGTCAATCAGCCAGCGGGGTGGAGCTCGACAGTATTGTCGGGATACGTCCTGGCTGCACTGTGGCTCTGCTCTCCCAGCATGTAGCGGGCAATAGCCCGCTATATACTGAGTTTTGGGTCACTGGAGGACATCAGTATATGTCCTCCTGTGACCCTAAAGAGAACTATGGCCAAAAAAGGTTAGGCCATAGTTCTCTTTTAACCACTTGAAGACCGCGGTGTTTCACCCCCTTCCTGGCCAGGCCATTTTTCAGTGTTCAGCGCTGCGGTACTTTGGCTGACGTTTATTCCGTCATGCAACGCTGTACTGAAATTAATTGTATACCATTTTTTGGGGACAGATAGAGCTTTCTTTTGGTGGTATTTAATCACCGCTGGGGTTTTTATTTTTTACTATATAACAAAAAAAGTACCCTAAATTTTTAAAAAAAAACATGTTTCCCTATAAAATGTTATGAAACATTTATTTTCACCCCCATTTTTTGGTATACTATAAAAGACGGGGTCACGTCGGGTAAATAGACACTAAATATGTCAACCTTTAAAATTGCGCGCACCCGCGAAATCGCAGAAAACGACTGCAGCCAAAATTGGCCATAGGCAACACTTTAAACGTTTTTACCGCTCATCAGTTTAGTGTTATCAGTGATTGATGGCCCTAAAATTATTGCTCTCACTCCGACGTTCGCGGCGATATGTAACATGTGCTGCATAATAGGCGCAATCGTCGTTTTCGTACGTAGGCGCACCCGACGCATGTTTGCATGTGGGGGGGCGGGGGACTTTAAAACATTTTTTATGTAATTTTTTAAAATTATTTTTTGTGAACATTTTTTTAACTTCTTTATTGTTTTTAATGCTGTCTTTTTTTTTTTTACTTTTTTTAGACAACTTTATTGCTATAACATAGGGGATTAAGAAATCCCCTATGTAATAGCCAGTTCACCAAACAGGTCCCCTTTATGGAGACATCAGGGGTCTCCAAGACCTCTGATGTCACCTAGGGACCCCCACAGAAGCTGATGAAGCAGAGATCTGCTTCATCAGCTTCTCTCCGGTGTTCTGCACCGGAGAGTGACACTGAATGCAGGAAGTGATGTAATATACATCACTTCCTGCATTCGGGGACAGGAAGAGAGATCAAAGGGAAATCGAGTAATGATCTCCCTTTGATCTGCTGTTAGAGCGTCGCCGTGCCGGTCCCAGCCGCACCGGCCACATCGGATCACGGACCGGCAGCGGCGACGAGGAGACGGCGGGACAGAGGTACGGGGGGGTGGGGAGGCCGCACACCCGCAGCTCCTGCAAGCGATCGGGCGTCTCTAGAGACGCCTGATCGCTTGTATGTAAACAGCCATCGCTGGCTGTTTACATGCTCACAGTTTCCCCTCTCGTGTGCGCGCTGAGTGCCGCACACGAGAGGGGGGAGGGGCAGGACGTCTTAAGACGCCCTCCCGCTCCTAGCAGACGTCCGTCCGGCCGTTCACAAACGGCCATGGACGGTAGGTGGTTAAAGTATTAATAAAGGCTAGGCATTTTTTACCTTTTTAATACATTCTCTGCATTAAGGTAAAAAACACCCAGTACCTCTCTGTAACCCCCATCCCCCCACACTTACCTGTGGTCAGTCGTCTCCTCCGCCAGGACCACGAAGATACTCGGCTTCCACCAAACTTCCTGGTCCTGGGGGAGGACAGAGGAGCCATAGGCTTCTTCTGCCGTCAGTCAAGTGTGACTGTGGGTGCGGGCCGGGATGCGATCCAGTGCGTTCCAGCACCAGATCAGGCCGGAACGAACTGTTTGTGGTGTGAACTAACCCTAAAACGTTTAAAAAAAGAAACAAAAGGCATTTAAGAGTTCAAGAGTTTCTAAGGCAAGTAATATTTTTCTAACCAGCTTAATTGTTTCTGTATTGGTTTAATGATTTAAAGTCTAACTCGAGCCTTTTTGTATGATAGAAATTTTAATTCTAAATTACTCTATTTGGTTGTTTTTTTTACGAGGGATGATGTCACCAGGACAGGAAGGCATGGAAAGCAATTCAAAACATTGTCAGAAGTTCTGATGCTTGTCCACACTGCTAAAACTGTGCAGTTATCTGTGTTGAAAGAATTTCCATTACATCCTGTCCTGGTGGGAAGTGAGCGGAAATATCCCTAATATGGAAACTAATTGAAAAAAAAAAACCTGACAAAACGAAATAAAAAAAGTTTAATCTGGAGTTTGGCTTTAAGTCAATGTTTGACAGCTATACTGTTGCATGTCTTAGTAAACACTGTCAACACTTCATTGGTTCAATTTATTCTTAAGTCAATATATTTGTAAATCACAGAAAGTTTAGAAAGTGGCTGCTGACTCTTCTGGTTCTTTCTTGTAGAATGGGGCAGCACGAAGACCAAGTGCCCCAGTTGTACCTCCTGTACGAAAAAGGAAATCAAATTGTCTGAGTGCCGATGAAGTAATGATCGATGAGGTAATTGATTTTTTATTTTATTTTTACTATTTTATTTTTCTACTATTCGGGCCATCTGGAAATACTGTGATTTTTACCTTTTGAGATGGTTATTAAACAAAAAGGATTTATAGTTTGACTTTTTCAATACTATTAGCACAAGAGGAAGGCTATTGATACCCTTCAAAGATATATATTTAAAAGTTTTATGATATTTTAGATTGTCTGATCTATTTTTTTTTTGCATTCATTTTAGCCATCTTACTGAGAATTTTGTAAACGCTCCTTTTTGGATATTTTAAAGTCCGCTTTAAATGAATGATCTAAATTAGCAATTCAATAAAACTTACATTTGTAAATGTCTTACTATTATGTAAGATAGAAGAAATAGGTCACCAGCACTCAGGATAATTCAAATAAATAAGTCCTTTTTATTGGACAAACGTGTCACAATAGTCAAACAGCCAACGTTTCGGGGCCACGCAGAGTCCCTTCCTCAGGGCAAAAGATGTGACAATGCAATGGTGTGCACACACCACATATATACCCCATAATGTGAACTAATTATCAATAGACACACCCCCAGTGATGTCAGAACAGCGGGAAAAGCGCCATATTTAAAATACATAATCTTGTTTTAAAAACACAGATATAAACTAAGTTACTTACTGCCTGTTGTCTCCAGTCTGAGGTTTAGAATAAAGGCTGTGGCGGTGTAATGTCTGTCATCACAGCGATCTGCTCATAATATCACAGAATGTGTGAGATGCAAAACGATATTGTAATCCGATGTCCTTCCGTGGTATATACAGCGTCGCCTTCTATCCTAGTTAGTCGCATACGATGGGCGTCATTGGTAACCAGGGTGATAGGAAGATACAATTCTTCACGATCCTAGTGCGCATGTGCCGGCCTGTATGTCGGCTGAGTGTGGAAAAGGCAAGCGCACCGATGTTATCATTACACAGGCACACCACCAAACCTCAGAGTGGGGAAACAATATAATCACATATAATATTTGAACCAGAATCTGTATAAGGAGACTACTATTGACAATATACATAAACCAGTAAGGAACAGAGACAAATAAAGATACACTAATAGAAAAAAATGAAAACATTTGAACGAATGAAATAAAAATGAAAGAAAACATTACCCACACATATATACAGACAGTACAACATATGAGGCAACCGGACATATCAACATAGAACATGAGAGCCCACAATCAACTCGAGAGCCATATAGTTGATCAGATGTATAGCTAAAGAAGTTATTTGAATAATATAAAACTATATCATAGCATATTTTTAACTATATACACAAAGAATCTGTAATGTGTATCAGTATAGATCTATAATTAAATATACACAGTAGTGGAGAGTTGAGGATGGAAAATTAGTTCATTATTAGAATATTTAAGTATAAATAGTCATATGGACATCACGAAAATAAGTATTGTCAACTACTCAACCAGGTAACAGGATAAGGATAAAGAGGAGTTAAGGCCTCTTGGTTTCACTGTATTTAAGGTGTGTATCCAGTAAGCCTCCCTGCGCAATAATATGTTCTCTATTGCCACCTCTGTGCGGTCTAGGTATGTGTTCAATAACCATTGCTTTAAGTTCATATATTTGATGGTTTGATTGCGCGAAGTGCATATATATCCATAGTTAATAATATCCAGCCAGAATGCATGTTGTCGATATTTCTCAATTTACTAATAATAACAAGATTATGTATTTTAAATATGGCGCTTTTCCCGCTGTTCTGACATCACTGGGAGTGTGTCTATTGATAATTAGTTCACATTATGGGGTATATATGTGGTGTGTGCACACCATTGCATTGTCACATCTTTTGCCCTGAGTAAGGGACTCTGCGTGGCCCCGAAACGTTGGCTGTTTGACTATTGTGACACGTTTGTCCAATAAAAAGGACTTATTTATTTGAATTATCCTGAGTGCTGGTGACCTATTTCTTCTATCTTGTGTTTTGCACGGTGCCATCCGTGGGAGGTACTACAAGCACCTTTTATCTACTGGCCGGGACTGCTGAAAGGTGTGCGGAGAGCACCCTCACCAATTGCAACCTTACTATTATGTAAGATATTTGAGCTGCAGTTCCAGCATAAAATCATACGCTCCAGACAGCAGATTTCAGAGAAGGACTGATACTCTGGAAGGAGCTTTATCTCTGCAGCGATCTGATACACCTCACTGTCTAGTCAGAGTTAGAGCTCTGCAGTTGGTAGCACTCGTGCTCCTCCCTACTTTGGGAGAATAAGCATTGCCGATTGTAGAACTCTATAATGGTGTGCACACACCACATATATACCCCATAATGTGAACTAATTATCAATAGACACACCCCCAGTGATGTCAGAACAGCGGGAAAAGCGCCATATTTAAAATACATAATCTTGTTTTAAAAACACAGATATAAACTAAGTTACTTACTGCCTGTTGTCTCCAGTCTGAGGTTTAGAATAAAGGCTGTGGCGGTGTAATGTCTGTCATCACAGCGATCTGCTCATAATATCACAGAATGTGTGAGATGCAAAACGATATTGTAATCCGATGTCCTTCCGTGGTATATACAGCGTCGCCTTCTATCCTAGTTAGTCGCATACGATGGGCGTCATTGGTAACCAGGGTGATAGGAAGATACAATTCTTCACGATCCTAGTGCGCATGTGCCGGCCTGTATGTCGGCTGAGTGTGGAAAAGGCAAGCGCACCGATGTTATCATTACACAGGCACACCACCAAACCTCAGAGTGGGGAAACAATATAATCACATATAATATTTGAACCAGAATCTGTATAAGGAGACTACTATTGACAATATACATAAACCAGTAAGGAACAGAGACAAATAAAGATACACTAATAGAAAAAAATGAAAACATTTGAACGAATGAAATAAAAATGAAAGAAAACATTACCCACACATATATACAGACAGTACAACATATGAGGCAACCGGACATATCAACATAGAACATGAGAGCCCACAATCAACTCGAGAGCCATATAGTTGATCAGATGTATAGCTAAAGAAGTTATTTGAATAATATAAAACTATATCATAGCATATTTTTAACTATATACACAAAGAATCTGTAATGTGTATCAGTATAGATCTATAATTAAATATACACAGTAGTGGAGAGTTGAGGATGGAAAATTAGTTCATTATTAGAATATTTAAGTATAAATAGTCATATGGACATCACGAAAATAAGTATTGTCAACTACTCAACCAGGTAACAGGATAAGGATAAAGAGGAGTTAAGGCCTCTTGGTTTCACTGTATTTAAGGTGTGTATCCAGTAAGCCTCCCTGCGCAATAATATGTTCTCTATTGCCACCTCTGTGCGGTCTAGGTATGTGTTCAATAACCATTGCTTTAAGTTCATATATTTGATGGTTTGATTGCGCGAAGTGCATATATATCCATAGTTAATAATATCCAGCCAGAATGCATGTTGTCGATATTTCTCAATTTACTAATAATAACAAGATTATGTATTTTAAATATGGCGCTTTTCCCGCTGTTCTGACATCACTGGGAGTGTGTCTATTGATAATTAGTTCACATTATGGGGTATATATGTGGTGTGTGCACACCATTGCATTGTCACATCTTTTGCCCTGAGTAAGGGACTCTGCGTGGCCCCGAAACGTTGGCTGTTTGACTATTGTGACACGTTTGTCCAATAAAAAGGACTTATTTATTTGAATTATCCTGAGTGCTGGTGACCTATTTCTTCTATCTTGTGTTTTGCACGGTGCCATCCGTGGGAGGTACTACAAGCACCTTTTATCTACTGGCCGGGACTGCTGAAAGGTGTGCGGAGAGCACCCTCACCAATTGCAACCTTACTATTATGTAAGATATTTGAGCTGCAGTTCCAGCATAAAATCATACGCTCCAGACAGCAGATTTCAGAGAAGGACTGATACTCTGGAAGGAGCTTTATCTCTGCAGCGATCTGATACACCTCACTGTCTAGTCAGAGTTAGAGCTCTGCAGTTGGTAGCACTCGTGCTCCTCCCTACTTTGGGAGAATAAGCATTGCCGATTGTAGAACTCTAGGTAGGGAGTTGCATTAAACTACTACCGCCACACAGAAAGCAGAGGTCTTTGCTCAAGATTTTATGCTGGCACAGCTAGGCTTTAGAGTGATATTATCGTGTGTGTTTGTGTGTTTATTTTGTTTCACAACCTTTAGAGGCAATCATTGCAAACAAGTGATTTTTGTAGCTCTCAATGAGACTTCACCTAGTTTGGTCCACTCTTCTTGCACAAACTGCTCCAACTGTCCCAGGTTTGAAGAGTGCCTTCTCCATGCATGCCTCTTTGCATAGATTTTACGATAGTATTTAGATCAAGGCTCATAGATGGCCACTTAAGAATAGTCCAGTTCTTGCTCTTAGTCATGCATTTTAGTCTGTTGCTTTTAGCTGTGTTTTTTAGGGTCATTATCCTGTTGGGAGGGCCTATGAACTGTGATTGAGACAGAGCATTCTAAAAATGGGCAGTATGTTTTGCTCCAGAATTCTTTGACATTCCTTGACATTCCTTTATTTTGCCCTGCACAGATTGAAGGCACTCTGTGCCAAACGCAGCAAAGCAGACCTAAAAAAATAACCAAGCCTGCTCAATGTTTTACAGTAGGTAATGGAGTTCTTTTTTTTTTTTTTTTTTGAAAGCTTAATTTTTTTGCCAGTGAACATAGAGCTAATGCAACTTACCAGAAGGTTCTAGATGTGCCTCATCTGTCCAAAAGACATTCTCCCAAGAAGCCTTTTGGCCTGTCAATATGCATTTTAGCAAATTCCAGTCCTATTTGTAAATGTTTTTCTTTCAACATTATTGTGCTCTTCTTTCTTTTGAACCCACTGTTGCTCATAAATCAACAGATGGTGCAGACAGACTTTGGACATTTTCTTTGACTCTTTGTCTAGCATTTGCAGTAACCTTTTGTTTAATCTGGGTTCAGTTTTCCTTTTGCGGCCACATCCAGGGAGCTTGGCTACACTCCTATGGACCTTAAACCTCTTCATAATATTTGCAAAAAGTGGTCACAGGAACATCAAGTTGCTTGGAAATGGTCTTTTACGTTTGACATGCTGCAATCCAATTATTCATAATCTTTTCTACGGGTGCCCACAAATATGTCCTGGCCATTTTACAATATTTTTGTAGCCTAAGCAATAGTTTTCACACTTTCTTTGCTTTACTCTATGACATACTAAAGGCATGCAGGTATACATGAGACAATTAGTTGTAATTTACATTTTCAGCATTGTTTAAGTGAGCTGTATGGGTACCAACAAATTTTGACGTGTGTATTTATTTATTGCTTACTATTTTTTAGCCTTTTACAAAAAATGGTATTATTATCTAACCTTTAGTTATCTTTTGGTGGCAATAATTTCATACTTTCGTCAATGGTTTTATGTAATGTCTTCAAGTCTCCTTTCATTTTTGGTCTGTTCTATTCCATTAAAAAAAAGAGGAGACAGTTTCAGTAGTGGTGTTCCATATTTGAAAAATGACAGTACTTTTTAATAAGAAATAAATGATCACATGGTTTAGTCAGCCTGTGTGCTGCCAACCTGTGTGAAAGCAGCTTTTACATCCTCGGATAGAAGAGAAGATTCTTCAGTTGTCAAGTAGTGTCCCTTACAGATCTATTCACTGTGAAGAGTTTGGAGAAGGCAGGAGAAGTGAACAATCTAGGCTAAAATAGCTGATTTGGAAACATTTTCCAATTCAGCTCACTTTCCAGTTCAGCTAAGTTGTCCTATATTCACTTCTCCAGCCTTCTCCAAACTCTTCACCCTTTAACTCTTCATCAGAGTACAAATTAATGAAACTCAAAGCATCCTAGAAGGTTACTTCAAAAACCTTCTATGCGGGCATTGTTCTTTGGGTAGGAAATATTAATGATAAATGTGTCGGGCCAATATGTTTTTATAGATATAGTATTATAAGCAAGTTGGTTTGTTTTTGAGGGCTATGTTAACATTCTATCTACTATACTTTAGGATTCCCAGGACAGTTCAGATGGAATCCCTTCTGCACCACGAATGACAGGAAGTTTGGTTTCTGACCGTAGCCATGATGACATCATTACCCGCATGAAGAACATTGAATGTATTGAGCTGGGACGCCACCGCCTCAAGCCTTGGTACTTCTCACCCTATCCCCAAGAGTTGACTGTGCTACCGGTCCTTTACTTATGTGAATTCTGCCTCAAATATGTTAAGAGTCTTAAGTGTCTGCAGAGACACCTGGTAAGTTAAAATAAACATTGATTATAAAATTATTTTCACTAGCAATTGTGAACAAAATGTTTCCTACTGTAAGCAACCAGTTACTCTTTTTAAGGTATATTGTGATTTTGTACATATGTTCCTTTTTATTTATTACGGAGAGGACTAAAATACTTATGGCCAGCAGGTGAAGCAGGATACTCATTTCACATGTTTTCCAAGCTCTCCTTATCTGTTTTGATAAAGAAGCCCGTTATTTACAGCACTCTATAATGAGAATAACTTACACATGGAGTAGAATCATCATAACACTGACTCATCTCCTGGCATCCCGGCTTCTGTATGAACTTTCAATCAGAGAGAGAGCCTGAAGGCAGACTTCTTCTGTGGTCTCTTTAAAATACCCTTTAGACTGAATTCACACCTATGCATTTTTCCTTGATGCATTTTCTATTGAAATCCATACACCTAAATGAGCATTAACACACACCAGTGTGCGTAATAGCATGTGATGACATTCAGTATTGCATTGCAGCACGTTAAAAATGTGCAGTGATGCATGTTAACACACACATGCATTTCAATGCATATATATCGATATCAGTAGAAAACCTATAGGTGTGTATAGGCCCCTAAGTTTCCTGGGAATCCTGTGTCATGGATGCAGCCTGTATTAAATGTTTTATTTGTAAAACAGAGTCTTAATGTAAATAGTAAAATATCAGATCAAGTAACGATTGAAAGTGTTTGTAAAGCAAATGTTCCAGTGAAAACTGTCTAAGATGGGAATTTCCCTAACTTCCCTAACTCCTATTTCCCCGATCTCTAGATCAGGAAGTGAAATCTTCCCAGTGGGACATAACAAAAAAACGTGAAGAGGTTTTAACCCTTCCCTACTCTATCCAAAACTAAAAAATGGCTATACATATACTTTAAAAACCCATAAAAAGGAAAATACCAAAAACCATAGTAGTAGATTTTTAACTAAAAACTAACAGTACATTATTAGTTTCTGTGCGCGCGTGTGTGTGATATATACACAGGTGAAACTCGAAAAATTAGAATATCGTGCAAAAGTTCATTTATTTCACTAATGCAACTTAAAAGGTGAAACTAATATATGAGATAGACTCATTAGATGCAAAGCAAGATAGTTCAAGCCGTGATTTGTGATGATTATGGCGCACAGCTCATGAAAACCCAGATCCACAATCTCAGAAAATGTTTGGCAGTGTGGGCAGGTGCCAAGTCCTGCTGGAAAATGAAGTCAGCATCCCCATAGAGCTCGTCTGCGGAAGAAAGCATGAAGTGCTCCAAAACCTCCTGGTAGACGGCTAAGTTGCATTAGTGAAATAAATGAACTTTTGCACGATATTCTAATTTTT